AATTAAAGATGATACTTTATCGCAGCATACAGAAAGCAGAATAACTTCAACAGAGAAACCAATCAGTATCTAAGGACTTAAGAGCCTTACTTTCATCTTCCTCAGGTTCAACGTGGTTTTCATTGTCAATTACGGTGAAAGAAACATTCCCTAGCCATAGTACTGCTGCAAGCATTGCAAATACGCTTTCTTGATCTTCTTTGCTAACGTGCACAATATCTAGAGCTTCCTGCAACAGCAAGTTTTTCAATCAAACAGTCAAATTAAATGCGTGCAAGAACAAATTAAATTGACTGAATGATGTTTACCGTAACAGCTTGAAAAAGTTCAGCGTCATCAATTCCGTTAATTGAGTAACAATTGCTTTGTTGCAAATATTTATACTCTTCTGCGCTTGTCAAATTTAGCTTCTCTGTTTCGACAATGAATGGAATGAAAAATAATAAGGATGCTATGATCACAGAAATGGACCTAAAAGTCTATACAGTATAATTTTATAAGTTATTTGTAGGATTAGGATTTACAAATCATACCTCTAAGTGTAGGTGAAGCCCCAGCACAAAGCTGATAAAATATATGATATGACCTTTCTCCTTCCGCACATTGAACCACTCTAGACTATTAAAATGTGTCAGAATTACAAGAAAGCAAGCCAAGGTTACCAAACATGATTCAAAACAGTTAGAATAGTATAAAGGAACTTACCTTTTCTAATAAAACTGCAAAAAAAACAAAAAAAAAACTTAGTTAGCATTTGTATAGGAAAAATAACACAAACACTCTGACGCAGAAACTATAAGGTCTATGCTTACATGTTTGAACTTTTGCACCGGAAATTTTTCCAGTCTCACTAAAATGAATCTCTATCAGTTTTCCCTGTCAAATTTACATCAAAGAAACATTATGAGACAAACAACGGCCCAAAACATTCTAGGATGCAGAGTAGCAGAAAGAGTGTGTGCGTAAGGTGTAACAGGGATTGGGGCTTACAAAACGACTAGAATTATCGTTTCTCAATGTTTTTGCATTTCCAAATGCTTCCAAGATGGGATTAGTCTTTAATATCTCATACTCGATCCCACTTCCACCTCCAAGAGCAGCCAAGTATTGCATTGCTATCTTTGCTGTCTCAGTTTTCCCAGCTCCACTCTCTCCACTGTATAAAAACATATCTTGTGGTAAGAAAACACTTACAAATCCACAACGATTTACCCCTATCATACCAGCACAAGCGAATATAAAAAATTTTACTTCAGTTGTAATAACAGTTAATTTTGTAGGAGGAAATTTTCACTAACCTTATAATGATGGATTGGTTAACTTCATCTGGAACGGAAAAAGAAACAAGATAAGAATGAAAACATAGAGTAATACGTTAAACGATTAAGAAAGATGATTCCACCTCGTATCATTTCACGGATTGCAGTATCTGCAATAGCATAGACATGAGGGCTCTCATTTGATCTTTTCCTGTATGCTTCAATGTTGTTATTTCCATACAAAGGAACCTCTTTGAAGGGATTCACGGCCACTAAAACGGGCCCTGCTTTCGTCTAGCACCATAAGGAAAAACTCAGAAAAGAAATAACAAATTTTACTAGAGAATTCAGGGTACTAAACAAGCAGGAACGGCTTACATATATCATGTCTTGGTTGTACCTATACTCAAGGTTGTACAACACTGCTGGTTCATTTAAGTAACTTAGTTGCATGAGATCGTCTACTCCATCAAGTATATCAGGATTTGCAGGTACTAGTGTCTCTGATATGACTTTTAAAACCTGTTAACTCAAGTTGCAGTACATAGATTCTGATCAAACACTAAAAATACTAATCAACATCTAAATCAGGGGAGTAAAAAAGATCCACTTACATTTCCCTCAGGTAGTTTAACAACAGACTCTTCTCCTGAAGTTGACAATACCTTCCCCAGCTCCCACTTACCATTTGGAAGCTGGACCCAAAATTGCAGTGCCTGGAAAAGTTTGCTCTAATGTTTATTCCAACTATTCATGCAACAAAGGACCAAACCAAAAAATCAACCTTAAGCATACCTTTTTCCGAGCATATACGCTTGTGTCACTCCACCTGCGGTCAGTACTCTGAGGCAAGGGCACAATAGGATCTCCATCAACAATTGAAGACACTTCACCATTTGAAACGCTATATGGTGAATCCTCATTACCATTATCCACTCCCCCAACAGACTTTTCAGATCCATTAAACCCATTCTTCAAGTGACCATTTCGTGGAATAGTCAAATCGGTCACAGAAACACTTGCGCCAGAGGAGTTCTCAAGGGGATCAGAGAGTGGTGGTGAACCAAGAAATCTATAATCCGCCGGCATCGATTTAAGTGACTGAACAGATGGCTTAACCTTCTTGGACATTTTTTTTTCCTGTAAAAGAGAGGGAAAGAGAGCTGTTTAGTTCAAAAGAAACGAGACCAGAAAGACAAAAGCACTTGTGGTTTGCTTTTAGAAGAAGACAGAGACCAAAGTTTATACGACAGAACAATACAGAGGGACCACAATTTTAGGAGGATGTAAACTAAAGTGATGTTTCAATGTACAGTCGCTATTACATAGAGTTCCACACCAAGCAAAAAGGGAAAAGATTGTAAGATTAGGCAATCTATGAAAATAGTCTAAAGTGAAATGTAGAGACTTTCTGGTTCCCCTTGTCTAAATGAAGTAAAGGCAATGCAAGATCCAATGGATTCACCTAAAGATCTCACTCCCAAGGCTTGTTCTTACACAGCTTTTGATCGGATGAGATCTAAAACAAACCAGTTGAGACTGAATCACATCTCATGGTTTCTAAATAAGGAAAAAATCCCACTCTTTCTTCAGCAGAAGACTGCTTCCACATATACAAATTTTGTTTTCTTGATTCCATTAGAAAAGATCAAAAATATTGGAAGTTGTGAAATTAATTACCTTTTTACTAAAAAATGGATAACCAAATCAGGAACCACTTTTAGTGGTTGTGAGAAGACTTGAGATTCACAAGAATTTGAGTTGCCCGATGAGATAGATCTTGCGCATAGACACAAACATTCACAACCCTCCGTATAAATTTCCGTGATTGTAAACGTAAACGAAGCAAGGACTGAATATAGAGAGAAACAGTTAAAAAGAGAAAGAAAATAGAATTATAGTATAACACTTTGGATGGGTTTTAAAGCAACAAATGGTGAGTGAGAAAATTTGGAGAGAAAATCGGGAAGAAGAAGAAGCAACCTTTTTTCTCCGCTTTGGTAAAACTGTTTTCTCCTTTTAACTAGTCATCCCATCCGACAGTTTTGAATGTCTTTTTTGGCCACCACCACCACCAGTGGAATTTTCAGCACCCTCACGTGGTCCAAATTCCCTTTTTACCCTCCTCTATATTTTGTTTAAGCCGATTTGTTTTTGTTTTTTCAAATTATGTGATATCACAAAGTTTAATGATGGTATTTTCCTCATTTATTGATTTTTCGAAATTTTAAAATTATAACTAAACGGAACTATAAGTCCAATTTTTTTAAAAAAAAATAATCATGCTCTTATAAATGATAAAATACGTTACTAGGACCTATATGAATTGTATTTAAATGATAATCAGTGGTATTTATTAGATAAGTTCCTAAGAAATTTCATAACTTTTAAATCCTATAGATTATGAAATTTAGGGGTGTTGACTAAAACAAATAGTAAGCCTACTAAGTAAGTAACATTTAATTAATTAGGTAGATTTGGTCCCATGTTTTGATCACATCTCCGTATTGTGTAGTCAACTATATATTTTAATAAACACAACCTGAGAATATCTTAGCTTATATTCGTTCCACTGCTAATAAAAACTCCGGCTATTTTTCAACAAGAATATTAATAACTAGTAGTTAGCTAGTATGCCGAACGAACAAACATTTTTGTGTGCCAAAAGAACATGAAGATCATGATAAAGACCGATGCTGACCCCAATTGTTTGATTCAGTACATTCTAGGATACACATTGACATGTTGTGTGTACTTTGAATCTTATCTTTTCTTTTCACTCCCTATGTCTCAAAATGTATGTTGGTGTTGGTGTTAGAAAATGTTTGTTATTTCAACATCAGATGTTGGTGTTAAAAATCATAAGACAAACCTAATTACCAATCATACCCAAGCTCATTAGTTTAAAATTAGTGAAGAAAAAAAGTTTAAAGAACTAATTATACAGAATATCAACCATATGGTAAAATAATTTGATAGCAATTACATTACAGATTTGGATAAGACTCTCACTCTCGTAACGTATGTAATCAAATCCTTGATGAACAGAAGAAAGAAATATACATAAATTAAGACGGTTGTGATATGTACAAAAAGATTTAAGTGAAACCTCATTAAAAGCAATATACAATTTTCTTCTCCATCTTCATACAAGTTTTGAGTGTGTAACCAAATGGCTTATTACACGCTTTTTTCCAATCCAAGCAAAAGAGACTTTCGATTCTGACTGCACATAAACAGAATCACCATTGGGTTTTACTTTTAACTTTTAAGACATAACAAAAACATGAAGCAACTAATCACCATTTTATGCAATCACTTCCACGAACTAGGATTAGGTATATGTTGTGGTGGAGATGGCCTAATCGGCTCTAACCATCTCAGATATGTTTTCATAGGGAACGACAACCCCCAGTTTTACCAAGTTTAAATGCAACATACCCGACAAGTTAGGCTCAAGCTGGCTTGATTGATCACAATAGTTAACAAGTTGTGTGCCATAACCGAAAACGTACAGCTTCTCTAATCTCAACCCGAGTCAACGTTGAAGCAAAAAGTTATCCTCAAAATTCGACAAAGCTCCACTTTTTCAGCATCAAAATAAAACACAGAATCATGAAAATCACATGCCAAATCCAGAGTAAAAACATAACCTTCCAACATTAAGTTTCAGCACACAGACAACAACACAAATAACAAACAACAGACTGGTTGGAAACCAAGATTCGACAACTACAAACCTCAATCCAATTCGTCTCCCCTAATATCCATATCAGACCCACTCCCAGAATCCGAATCCGAACCTGCACCATGTCTTCTAAACAATAAGCTAATCCTCCTCTCACCCGACCCTCCCCCTTGATCTCCTCCACGAGCCCTACTCTCATACTCAGCATCGCCTGTGGGCAACTCATGCCTACAAACAGGACACGAGTTATGCATCTGAAGCCACGGAATCAAGCAGTCATGATTATACACGTGTCTACACGGCATCCCATTAACACCAACCCCATTTTCAAACTCATCCATACAAACCACACATTGATTAATCTGCGATCGCATCATCTCCTCCGTCACTTTAACAGTAGGCAACGCATATACAGCGGATTTCGAAGCAGGAGGGGGTCCGAGGATTAAGGTTTAGGGTAGGGATCTGTGTATTCTTCGCGGAAGCCTAGGTTGCAGAGAGGACAGAAAGACTCAGCGGAGGAGGAGATGGAGATTGTGATTGTGATGGTTTGGTTGCATTGGTAGCATAAGAACATCTTGTCTGTTTCTGCCGTTGTGACGGATCGGTTGAGTTTCCGACGGCTGACATGATCGGAAATGTTTGGAGACGAGAAGATGGGAGGAGAGAGAAGTTTACGTTGTCCTACGGTTTTCATCCTAACCAAACATGCCGAACCGAAACATAACTAAACCGTAAATTTCTCGGTTTAATAACTTAATTTCAATTTACGGTTTAATATTAAACCGATAAATATTAAACCGTAATTTTTTCGGCTTAATACATAAACCAAAAGAGAACTAAACCGTAGATATCTCGGTTTAATTTTATATACTTTTCAGTGTCCGAACTAATCGAAAGAATAGGGCAGGCTGAACGTAAGATTCCGACCCGAGATCCGAAATCAAAACCGGTTCAAGAAAACCAAACACTCGATCTATAAAAATCAATGCATCTTATAATCTTATAGAGAATTACTATTTAGATCAATGTTCTAAAAATCGGTCTAGGCGCCGACTAGGCGCTCGCCTTGGCGGCAAATCCCCTCTTACCGAAACGATTTTCTTAAAATCCGATTTATACTATTCAAGTCGGTTTAAACCGTTTTAAATCGGTTTAAATTACTCTAAAACGTTTATAATTAGTTTAAATTAGTATAAATTTGTTAAATTAAGTAATAATTTAGGAAATAATTACAAATATGTGCAATTTATTTTATTTTGTATATCGGATTTTGATAATTTATTAAAATAAAATTATAATTAAACCAAAAAATTAAATCACTTATATAAATGTAAAATATATATAAAATAAATCAATAATTCGTTAACGCCTAATTCCCGCCTAGGCCCCGAATAATCCGCCTAGGCGCTAGTCCTCTATAGAGCGCCTAGTTTCCGCCTAGCGATTTTTAGAACATTGATTTAGATAGACACCTAAACCGAAAACCCGAACCGGTATCAGAACGTTAGGCATGGTCCAATAAAGGTCTTTGCAGTTATCAAGCTATTTTGCAAATATCTGAAAGCATGAGGCTAAATTGAAAGAATCGAAAAGTAGTGGACAATTAAGTAAAAAAAAGTCATCACCTAGTTTTCATTCCTATGGCCACACAATCATTTTTATTCTGAATCAATTGAACATCATCATCCTCCACTGAGGAAACAAAAAAAAAAAGACGAGGAATAAGCAATGGACTGTATCGTCTCCAGCTCGACGGTTCTTATCCGATCACATCTCACTCCAATTCGTCCAGCTTCCTCCGTATCCGCCAAACCTCTCAGCTCAGCACAGGTCGCATCCTTCGCGGCTAACCGCCACACACTTTCCTTCAGGTCCGGTGGTCAAAGAGCCAGAGCACTCTCCGCTACGGTGATAAGATGCGGCGGAATCAAGGAGATCGGCGAGAGTGAGTTCACCAGTACGGTTCTTGAATCGGACCGGCCGGTTCTCGTTAATTTCGTAGCTTCTTGGTGTGGTCCCTGCAAGTTGGTCTATCCCGCTACGGAAGCTTTATCTCAGGTTAGCTATTATCTCTTCTTCTTCTTCTAGAATATTATTATTTATTAGGTTTCTTGAAATCTTGTTTGGCTTCTTTTTTTTTTCTTGCAGGAGTATGGTGACAGGTTGACGATTGTGAAGATTGATCACGACGCGAATCCTAATTTGATAGCAGAGTACAAGGTTTACGGTTTACCGCATTTTATTCTCTTCAAGGATGGGAAGGAAGTTGCAGGTAGCAGAAAGGAAGGTGCTATTACTAAGGCCAAGCTTAAGGATTACATTGATGGTCTCTTGACCTCTATATCTGTTGCTTAATCCGTGGATTGGACTCTTTTTCTCCACACTGTTTGTTATGTAAACACATTCTCTTGAGTTGTGATCTTCATCAACTTGTTTTGTTACCAAATGTGTAAATCTAGCAACAGATTTTTATTAATACAAGACTCTGTGCATTCGTGAACTCGTTTTACTAATAGAAAAGACATTTTTTGTGTGACAAAAATAGCCAAATACTATATAAAGTTTCATTGGTCCTTCCATTTAGCTTATTATTTCTTGGTGGATTCTACCTTTGGATTTTAAATTAGTTTTGGCTATGGGTTAATTGTGAAGCAAATTATACTAAATGGTAAAAATATATGTATACAAGCCGCAGTGATTACCTTTTACCTTTCACCAACATTGCTGTTTTAAGGAGGCGAGTATTGATATGGCTCATATCTGTTATGAAACAACCAATACTATACAAACTTTCATTGCTCTTTCCACTTATAAGCTAGTTGTTAGGTAGGTTATACTTTTGATATTTTGATTGGTTTGGTAATAGACTGATTGTGAGCAAAATTATACTAAATCATAGACTGATCGTAACCAAAATTATACTAAATCATACAAATGTGAATCAACGAATTTGGGTTAGACTAAAACATAATATGTGAACCAGTATAGATTTTTTTTTAAAAAGCAAAAAACACATGAATGACAAGTTTGCACAAGGTGTTTGCAGTTCTCCTTATGGTTTATGTTGATTTTGTTCTACCGGTTTAGAATATCTGAATTGGTATCTAGTTCGAAGTATTATATTTTATTGTTGGCAAAAAAATGACTTTCATACATAGTTCACCAGAAACATGACTAGTCATTGCATTAGTGAACTTGTTTATGACATTTTGTTTGCATCTAAGTTCATTTAACAGTTAAAAGGAATAGAAAAAAAAACTCTAGTTGATGCAAATTAGAAAACTCTGCTTGGATTTATTGGAAATGAATCAAGTAAAAAAGAAATCAACATTAAAGACTCTTTTTTTTTGTTACAGTTTCCATTCTTCATTCTTCTCCTCCTCTTCTCGCCTGCAGATTCTCAGATCTTGTTGGCTTATTCCCTTGAAAAAAGCAACCAAACACACCAACAGCTAGACTTTTCTTGCAAAAAATCTCAAACCTCCTTGACATAGGTCTCTTCACTTCCTCCAATTACAGCATCATCCGGGATGTAACGTCTCCAAAATGGATGCGCCTTCCACACTCTTCCCATCTCTTCAATAGGAACCCCTTTGGTCTCGGGCAACAAGAAGTAGATGAAGATGGTCATGATCATAACCATTCCTCCGAAGAAGTAGAAGAGACCAAACTTCATGTGGCAAAGCATCGTTAGGAAGAATTGTCCAATGAGGAAAGTGAAGAACATGTTGACAGATACATTAATGGCTTGTCCCGCTGGTCTAATTTCCAATGGACAAATCTCACTTGGTACTAACCATCCTAATGGACCCCATGACCATGCAAACCCTGCAACATATATGCATATGAAAGCTAGTACCCAATCTGCTGTTGCAGGTGTCAAGGTTCCAGATCCTGTGGTTCCAAACTTCGCACCGATCAAGCTACCAACAATGATCTACAAAATGATTGTTTGATGTTAATGTACGGAAGCATCATTACAGAACCTGAAGCTGTTTTTTTTTTTACCTGGCAAATGACCATTTGGATACCACCTTCAAGGAAGAGGATCCTTCTTCCATACCTGTCAACCGCATAGATGGAGACAAGGGTAGAGACAACATTGACCACACCGGTAATAACCGCGGAGATGAGCGAGGCATCATCTGCGAAACCGAGAGTTTTGAAGAGAACAGGAGCGTAGAACATGATCACATTGATACCAGTGAACTGCTGGAAGAAAGGAATCGCGGAACAGAACACAAGCGCTGGTCTGTATTTAGCTTCTTGGAAGATGTTCTTCCATGGATTCTCCACTTTTTTAGCAGCCTCACAGGCATCACAAAGATCTTGAAACTCCTCGTCCACGTTATCAGCTCCACGAATCTTCTGCAACATCTCTCTAGCTTGTTCGTACTTGCCTCTCTCGAGCATTGAGTTTGGTGTGTCTGGCAAGACAAATGATCCGATGACCATTACAACTGCTGGAACAGCAGCTAATCCTAAAGACACTCTCCATCCGTTTCTAGCCATTTGAGATGTTCCGTAGTTGATTAGGTTTGCTATCAAGATTCCAACAGTAATCGCCATTTGAAAACCGATGTTGAGTGCTCCTCTGATCTTGGCAGGAGCCATCTCTGATAGGTAAACCGGTGTAGACTGGAACAAGAAAGATAACCATAATTAACCGGAAGATCAGCCATGCAAACCCAAACAGAAAAAACATTTTCCTTAGTTTTTTTTTTCTAAACATAATTATTTAACCAAAAATTCTTACCCAAAATTATTATATTTTATCATTCACTCATTATTAAAACCTTTATTTATTATGTTTTGATTTGCACTTATTATAAACTCAGGTCTAAACTACATGTGAACCATGTTGACTCACCTGATTAGCGAAACCAACACCGACTCCAAGCAACAATCTACCGATGATGAGCATTGCAACGTTGGTTGCAAATGCGTTGAATAGTGCACCTATGAGGAAAGCAACACCACCAACAAACATGGAGATTTTGCGTCCGTACTTCCTTGTGACAGCTGAAGCTGCAAAGGAAGAGACGAGAGCCGCGAGGTAGAGTGAGGAAGTGAACAACTGGAGTAACTGGTTGTCGAATTTACAGTAAGCTGTCTCGCGTTTAGCATTGTGCATTTGCCTATCAACCTCCGGGAAAAACTTGCTCAAAAACTCCTCCATTGATGTTACTCCTCCTGAAAAATAAAACACATTTCATTGCTTGAAGATTAATCATCCAAACCTCCGAAAAACTAACAAAAAGATTCAAACCATTTCATGATGTTTATTACTCCCTCGTTTTTTTAGTATAAAATTATGACTAAAGCACAAAAAGTAAGAAATTCTTTTTTTTTTCCAAAAAGCACCACTACCAATATAAATTTAAAGTAATTCAAAAATGGAAAAAAATTTCTCAATTACACGAAGTTTACACTAATATGGTGTAAACCATCCAATGTATAAAAATGTGTCAAGAACTACACGAAGTATATGTTAATATATGCCACATGTACGAAGTAAATGATATTATGGTGGCAACATCACAATCGGATTAAATTATTCTTAAGCTAAGTTAATGGGGTCAATCCGTAATTTATGAAACTTAATAAACTTAATTAATTTTAATTATTAAAGTTAATAAAATTAATAAACTTAATAAACATAATATTTTTTAAAACTTAATAAAATTAATAAACTTAATAAACTTAATATTTTTTGTTAAACTTAATAAATTTATTAAACTTAATAAATTTATTAAACTTAATAAAATTATTAAACTTAATAAACTTAACAAACTTAATAACTTATAAACTTAATAAGTTATTAAACTTAATATACTTAACAAACTTAATAAACTTAATGATTTATTAAGTTTAATACATCTTATTAAGTTTAATAAATCTTATTAAGTTTATAAAGTTTATTAAGTTTTTAAAAATTATTATGTTTAATAAGCTAGAATCCTAAAACTA